CCATCCCCGTTCTCAACTTCCGCGCTATCTCTGGGGCCGCATCTTGGGGGTAACCCATTGATCGAAGGTTCGCGGTGTGTCCGCTCCTCTGGGCCCTTTATGAGGCGTCATGAAGAGCCCCTGAGATCTGCAGGTTACGGAAGACTCCATTTGGGGTTCGAATCTGCCTCACCCACCTGGAGACCTCATCACCCCACACACCGCCTACCCCTCAGCCCTCAGCACAGAAGGGTTGGTCAGGTCTCTTGCACGTCGCAGCCTGGGCGGTGGCCGGGGAGGGGGGTTGTAGATGGTGTATGCAGGCGGGAAGGGGGTGCGGGGTGGGCCATGCAGGGTTCCCCCCTCTTCTGAGCAGAGCGGAGCCTCACAGCTGGCGTACAGGCCTCTCTGGGCCCTGAGCCACGTCAGCTATTGAGACTGGACAACACTCAACGGCGCTTCTGGTCTCTACTCCAGCTCCGATGCTGCTTCTCTGTTTCCTTTCGTCGCTATGGAGGAGGGATTCCTGCACCTCCCAGGCCTGCCCGGACACCACACCAGGTGTCCACTGAGTGGAACTCCGTGCAGCCACGGGACTCAGGAACGCGACCAAATATCCTGGCTTTCCAGAAGCAAACAAAGGCAGACGAAAGGGTTTTGTCGGCTGCCGCCCAGGACAAGTAGCTCGTCAGGAGCAGCCCACGCTCCAAACACCTGCGGCTTCCTCCTGCCGGTGGTCACTTCAGGTCAGGTGGCCCAGACTCCTGCCGAGTTGTGGAGAACAGACCATCACGCGCGTCCTGTGGGACCGCACCACACAGGGCCAGCGTGTCTATTGTAGTGGAAGTGCCAATGAAAACTGAAAATCATGTCTTCTGTTGCTGAAGTATTTCGTATTCATTGCAAAAGACGGGAAATTCAGAAGAAAAGAAAGATTAAACCTCCTACTGCACAGACACAACCAGTGCTGACGGTTTCCGGCGTGCCCTTCAAGTACCCTCCAAGCCTGTGTGTATTTTACAGTAATGACCTTACACTGAGCATTCTTGTAAACTTTTTTTGCTTTTTCTGAACACAGTGTTACTAAATATTCTTCAACATCTCTTATTAAGCATTGTTTTTGGTGGGCACATTAGATCATGGACTAAACCCAGATTTATTTAACCCATCTGTCGTCAGCCCTTCCCTGTGTTTCCGCCCTTCGCTGGTGACGAAGTCTAGTGGGGTGTTGTTTAGAAGTTCCTTCTGAGATGCTTTGGAGGGAGCCGAGGGTGTCAGTGGGGCGGTTTCCTGTCTTCCTCGGGGCCTCTGAGCCAAGCGGCTGGGGGCACGCTACCACCTCTGCATCCTGTGAGAAAAGCCGGCACTGTGCCATCTCATCGACGAGAAATCAGTGGCCAATTGGTCACGATTCGACTGGAAAACCAGGGTCAGATTAGAGCAGCCTCGCCTGTGCTCCTGCACCAGGCTGGAGGAATGCAGACAGGCCCCGTGAGCCTGAGGGTGAGCCCACGCACCCACATCGCCGCCGCGTCCACTGACAGCTCACACAGGCTCTCACACGCACGTGCACACTCACACGAACCTCCAAGGCCAGCACACAGCCAGAGCTCCGACTCAGGTGGCAGGAAAGTCAAGTGCCCAGAACTGGCCTTGGTCCTGAGCGAGGCCCTGAGCCCGAGTGCTCTGTGGGCACAGCCCCACGCTCGACGAAGCGGATTCTGCACAGGTGCGCCTGTGAGGCGCCTGCGGTGGGTGCTGCGCCCGCATCTCCCTGGAGGAGAAGCCATGGCCGGGAGCAGGCCCTCCCTGCCCTCCTATCCCCGTGGGCACCTCCGGTCAAGGACAGCTCTGCCATGGTTCATTTCCTCCCTGTGCTTGTTCAGTCATGAATGCTGAGCAAGGAGCCCTTCCGGGTGCTGCATTTCTCACAGTAAAGACCAACTTCAGTATTTGTGACGGTCAGCATGTCGTTTTGCCAACAACCTCCCCAAAGTGTGAAATGAGATGGGGTGCAAGCCCCCCGCCCCGCTTCAAGGCGAGCCCTGTCGAGGGTGGGCTGGGGCTACGTGAACATTTTAGCTTGGAACCGGTCATCTTTTCTGCTTTGTCCAGGTCAACAGGGTGCTGCTGCGTGCGGCTCTGGCAGCTGGCGGGACGGGCTGTGTGGCGGCCACAGCGGCCGGGAGGGCCTGCAGCTGTGTGGACTCCTGGGTCTTCACTTTGCGCTGAGCCTCTGGCTGCAGGCGACTCGCACCTCAGCTGAAAGGTGATTCAGAAGGAATGGTGTGAGGCCTCCACCTGCAGGCCCCACAGCTCTGGTGGCTTCCCCTGGGAGTCGGGGGTCCTAGTCTCTGCGGCAAGAGACCCCTGAGATGGGGAAGTCACACAGTCGGCCTGGAGGCTTGTCGTCATGAGTCACCAGTGCGATGGGTGCCAGGACACAGCGTCTGCTGAGAACGGAACGGAGCAGGAGGGAGCAGGTGCCCCCCCGTGGGGCCTGGGGGTTCACCTGCGAGTGTTCGTGAACAACTCTACCTAGCTGAGGTATCAGTTAAGGTGCGAGTGAACCCCAGCTGGAGTGGCAGCACAGGGACACAGTGAGAACCCCGAGTGGGAGGGCTCAGTGTGGCCGATCAGCAGCCCCACGTCTCGGTTGCCACACAGCTGGACACAATTCTATCTAGCCGCGTCCCATGGGAGACCCCCGCTTCCACACCCCTCCCCACAGGGCCCAGGAGAGCCTCCCGCAGCTCCCGAATCCCCCTCCCATTGGCGCTGTCCCCGTCCGCACCGCCTGCGCCAGCGTGGGGCTTTGCCGTGGGCAGAAGAACAGTGGCTAACTGCTTCCTACTGTTCTGACACCTAAAAATTTGATACTTCTCAGGAAAATCGCGACGTCCAGCTCTCTCTGAGCACAGGACTGCAGACAGCAGGGCCAGCATGTCTGCATTCTGTGGCTCCATCGGACAGGCCCCGCCACCCCTCAGGCATCTCGCCCTGGAGTACAGGTGTGTCTGGGGCCCCTGCTACGCCCCGGGGCAGCCACCTCAGGGCGGTGAGCGGCTATAGGACCGCTCCTGGCACATGGTGCCCACGACCACTGTCTGTTCATCCTGCCCATGCACCTGGCCTCTTCCAGGTGGGAGCTGCCCCCGTGTCCACCCCTGCCCCTCCTCCCTCCATGTGCTCATCTGCTCACTGACCAGGAAGAGATGCAGGGCTGACCCCAGGGTCCCCAGCCCTTCCAAGGACGAGGCCCGCCTCTGCAAGGTGTGAGGACTGCAGCCTGCTCTCACCTACGAGGATCTAGTGAGAGCAGGATTTAGGAGCAGGCGAAGTGTGGCCTGCGGTGGCAGGGGGGCACGTCGTCATCCCCACAAAAGATCCCCAGAGCACCCCGCCTGTCCTTTGTCCGCGAGCCTCGGTCAGCTAGCCCTAACTGCTCCCCAGTAGCTGGCTGCCCCAGGCTCCACTGAGCTTGAGAATCCTGGCACCACCCTGCCCACTGCGAGTCACCATTCCCACTGGGCTCAGAGCCGTCACGTGGCAGAGCTCGATGAGCACCAGGAGAGAGGCCGCGTGCTACCACCGTTTGTGACTAGTCGGTCCCGTCCACACTGAAGTGAACAGCACAAATGACGGGCACATGGTCTGAGGGGCAGCTCTTCTTGCTGAGCAGCACAGCTTGAGGCAGGGACAGGCCTGGGGATGGGCCTGGGGACAGGCTTGGGATGGGCCCGGGGACGGGCCTGGGGACGAGCCCATGAACAAGCAAGGGGGTGCTGTGGGCAGGCTCACGAGCTCGTGGGGCCAGTTTTCTCGTCCCTCCCAAAATTAACAGGGCTCTTGAGGGCGTCAGCAGTTTCCAGCCCTTCCAACCTCACCTGGTCCCAGCATGGAGAACGGAGGACCTCTCCACACCTGTCACAGAGCAGTTGGCCGGTTCCGGCCGGTGAGAAGGCAGCAGTGGCATGTAGGGGTAAAGTTCTGATTTTCTGGAAAAAGGAATAAGAGTAGGTGACGCACGCCATGACCCCATTCTCCTTGCCTTGAACACAGTTGTGATGCCTGGAGCTGCAGCAGCCAGCTTGGGGCAATGAGGCGGGGAAACTGGCACCACAGAAGTGCCCAACTTGGGCTCCAAGCCAGTGCCAGTCCCAGTCCCTG